CCCCACATCGGGCTCCCTGCTTGGTGGGAAGCCTGCTTCTCCCTCTCCCACTCCCCCTGCTTGTGTTCCTGCTCTCGCTGTGTCTCTCTCTCTCTGTCAAATAAATAAATAAAATCTTAAAAAAAAAAAGACTTTAGCTAATATAAAAATGGATGAAATCTTTATCCTACAACTTCAAATATCTTCCATACTGAATTTAGTTGAAAAAGATGAATTTAATTTCACAAGTAGTTTATTATTCAAATACCTAAAGATTGGTGATAGAAGGAAGAGGGGAAGAAGAGAAGGGGGTGAGTAAGAACTTCTTACTCACTTACTTAATGTGATTATCCCCATATTACAGATAAAGGGACTAAAGGAGAAAAGAACCTCCCCATTCTAGGTAAGGCCACAAAGCTAGAATTTAAAGTTAGGGTTATTATCTGAGGTCTAAACCCCTCTAAAGCTCTTAACTATTTCTTACTGTAATTTTATGTATTCTTTTGTTAGAAAATTGTTTTCTCACAAGTTACAACACTTTTCTAGATAAAACAAAACAAATATTAGTGTATAGTCTTTGTATAAATCTACCTTTTCAATCAGACCGTCGTGTTTGTCTTTAAAGTCTTCATTAATATCCAGTGTTAAAATAGGGATTTCTTGTAGAAAATCAAAGTTGGTTCTATTTTAAAATGAGAGATGGAAAAAAATAATTAGAAAAAGCAATAAATAAAGACAAACACTAAAAACTCACTCTTATACTATCTCTGGGAAATCAAATGTTGTCAATCATTTTACATTAAATTTATCCAGCAAGTATTTTTATCTGGAAGCCCCTTCTTTCTCCCCTAGACTTACTACTATATAATAATACTAATATCTAAAAATCTCAAGTATAAAGTATATAAAGTTAGGCATTGTGACATGTAATTCTTCTCAAAAACCAAAAACTTCCCCTAAAGTAAGGAATGTTTGCATTTTGAAAATGAGAAAACTAAAGCTCAAGAAGGTCACTCTGAGGCTCAAGGGATGCATGCCTAAGGTTACACACCAACAAACCTGGATTTGACCCAAGATCTGACTAATGACAACAAAGTCCGTGCTCTTAATAACTGTGCTATACTACCTCCCAACCCTTGATCTAAAAAATAAATCTGAAGTATCTTATCTTAAATTCTCTCTGAAAGTGAGTACCTAATATATCTGCACACAGATATATTTCCTACTTCATCACTTAAATTCCATATATCATGCTGTCAATACCACTGGAGAAGATCAGCTATAAAAATTTTAAGAAAATAGGATCTCATTACAATAAAAAGAACCAAAATTCATACCTAATTCTGGGAGATCCTATAATACTAGTTCAAAATAAAAATGGCTGAAAATGAAAATCTGTACATGTTTAGATTAAAATTTGATAAGGTCTTTAAAATAAATAGTAAATAAGAATAAGGAAGTCTTGGGCGCCTGGGTGGCTCAGATGGTTAAGCATCTGCCTTCAGCTCAGGTCATTATCCCAGGGTCCTGGGATCGAGTTCCGCATCGGGCTCCCCGCTCCTTGGGAGCCTGCTTCTCCCTCAGCTTCTCTCTCTCTCTCCCTCTCTCTCCCTCTGTCTCTCATGAATAATAAAATCTTTAAAAAAAAAAAAAAGAATAAGGAAGTCTTACTTCAGTGTTCTATGCAGTAGCCAGCTCTCATGCTTATAGTGAAGCTTCTCTAAATATTCAAGAGGAATGCCTTGTTCTTCATTTCTTCCTCGTAAATATATTCTATTCAAGCATTTCTAAAAGCAAACAATAAGAAAGGGGTTGGGGGCAAGGAACAATCATTCTTGTCTGCGGCCATTAAATTTTTCTTCTCTAGTATTTCTTTAGTTATGCTAGCCAAAATCTCCATTTATTCCTTCTAGAAAGTTGAAATAGCTCCTTTTTCCCTCCTTATGCTTTTCAACCATTTGGTGTCTCTAAACCAAGTAGTAGTACTTTCAGTCTATAAACTTATGGGATCCATACTTGAAAAATACTGTAAAGTAAGTTCAGTAAAAAGTTCAATATACCAAACTGTGCAAAATTTATTATAAATCCTCTTTTTTTTTTTTAAGATTTTATTTATCTATTCATGAGAGACAGAGAGAGAGAGAGAGAGAGGCAGAGGGAGAAGCAGGATCCCCTCTGAGCAGGGAGCCCGATGCGGGACCCGATCCCAGGACCCTGGGATCATGACCTGAGCTGAAGGCAGACGCTTAACTATCTGAGCCACCCAGGCGCCCATAAATCCTCTTTTCAAATACTTAAATGATCCTGCAATTAAAAGATATGACAAATAATACTGATGAAATCAAAGTTTTGTGTTTATAGACTTTAAGATATTGGCTATATTTTCTAGCAAAATGAAATTATTATCTAAAAATCTAAAATTCTTTATGTTCTACATTTGCATTTACTATTTTCTTAATTAAAAACAAAAAATTCTTTTCAAAAAATAAAAAAGTGAATTTCAAAATTATTGTTAAATTCTGGCTTCCTTGATATTAAAAAGAAGAACAAAATCATCACTTGGAATCTGAAACCTAGTTTCTTTGAAAATTCAGCTTCAATAACAACACAGTATTCTTTCAGGCTAGAAGCCATGACATTTATATTCATCAGAGGCTACTTTGTGGCTTAGGGAAGACACAGGAATAAAAAACAGAAAAACTGGAATGTAAGCACGAAAACCAGAAATTTGTTAATAGAGTAAGCTCTTATTTAGGTTAGCTTTATGAAAGGAATCCACTTCCTGGATTCATTACATAATTTCATATATAAACAAGAATGGGGGCACCTGGATGGCTCAGCTTGTTAAGCATCTGCCTTTAGCTCAGGTCATGATCCCAGGGGTCCTAGGATGGAGCCCCACATCGGTCTCCCTGCTCAGCAGGGCAACTGCTTCTCCCTCTCTTCCCTGCTCATGCTCTCTCTTGCTATCTCTGCCTCTCTCTCTGAAATAAATAAATAAAATCTTAAAAAAAAAAAAAAAAAGAATGGCTATGTTATAACCTATCACGAAAGGCACATTTTCAAGTAAGCTCCCTTAACTGAAAATGGTAAGGGTCCTCTAAGTCTCTTCTCAACTGAAGCTGCTATCCAGTCCGACCCATGAACAAACATAAAAGATTTCTTGAAATGGACTTTCATCAGCTTTGCGATTCATTCACAAATATTTGCTGAGTTCCTACTATGTACGTAGGCCCTGTTCTAGGCAATGGAAATTCAACAGTAATTAAAATACCCGGTCTCACACCAAGAAGCCTATATTCTAGGAGTTGCTTGAGCAAATTTTTTAACCTAGCTGTGATAGATAAGAGACCTTGCAGAAGTTGGGAAGAAATAATGAAGAACAAAACTGAGGAAGCACAGAGAAGGGCCTAACAGAGCAACTTGCCAAATCTGGGTTTCTTCTTTGCTGGGAAAAGAGAATACTTCTATCTATACAGTTTGAGTTTCTAATTTGGATGTGGGGAGTAGAGAGTAGGGAGTGGAGTTAAACTAAAATGCCTTCACTGCATACCACTAAAAGGACTTCTAAATACTTTAAATTGTCAATAGAGCAAGCAAATTTTTTTAAAACACTTTTTTTTTTGAAGATTTTATTTATTTTAGAGAGTGAGCAAGAGAGAGAGCATGCACAGGGGGAGGGGCAAAAGGAGAGGGAGAAGCAGACTCCCCACTCAAGCCTGACTCGGGGCTCGATCCTGGGATTCTGGAATCATGACCTGAGCCAAAGATAGATGTTTAACTGATTGAGCTACCCAGGCGCCCTAGCAAGCACATTTTTATTGAGTCTCACCTCTGGAGTGGCTCGAAGATAAATGATTCCATCCAGTTCAAGGCTTTGGCCAAACTGTTGATTCATCCAGTCATGCCAGTCTTGATAAATTGTCCACTCTGTTTCATTCATGCAGTCAGATTCATACAAATTAGATGCAAAGACATACCTGAAAGAGAGTCTACATCAAAATATAATTCTTTTCCAAAAAACACAAAGAAATAGAAAAGAGAAAATAAATCTATTAAATGGACATGGAATATTCTCCTAAAATCCATGGCAGATAATGCCTTAGACAGCAGAAAAAATCAATAGAATATCTCCAACTACAAGAAATATGTTCTTGGCCAGCAGTTCTCAAAAATGTAGTGTAAGGACCCCTGCTAGTCCCCAAGATCTTTCCAAGGGTTCCGTGAGAGGCCAGATTACTGTATATACAATACTTCAACCACATGGTACACAGACTGAATACAGAAGCATAAATGAGAATCCAGCTATCTCCCATTTAGACATTAAAGAGATTTGCAAAAATATAAAACAATCCTCTTCTAATTTTTTTGTTTTGAAAAATATAATTTTTGCAAGTATGTTATTTATGCTAATATGTAATGGGTTTATTATTACTAATTTTAAATAAATTAGTAAATGTTCTTTATATTTTTCGATCTTAATTTTTAATAACATAAACATCAGTAAAACACAAAGCTCTTTGGGCTCTTCAATCATTATATTAAGAATGAAAAGGGATCCTGAGACCAAAGTTTGAGAACATTTGTTCTGAACCAACTCTCTAGCGTAAAAGAATCCTTGCATAAGCAGGGTAACTCTAAGGCCCCCTTAGAGATTTTTGATCTTGCTCAAGATGCAAGTCTTGAATATAGATACAGACTAAACCAGAGTAGATGAAAATTTTAAGAGGGTTGGAAGAAAAAAAACTTCTTTGCAAATCTGAATGAGATGGCTATCATATTCCCTAAAGTTTCCATGGAAGCTAGCAATTAATAACGCTAGAACTAGGGAATGCCGTTACTACCAAACTGCTGAAGGTAATGTTGCATCTCAAATCCTCACCACAGCCTCTCTTATTCCTTTAATTATCAGAAACAGAAATAAAATCCCAGTTCCAAGACGATTCCAGAATGACAAGGGCAAGTCATTTATATATACCTGTCACTGTATATAGATCGTTCAAAAAATAATACAGGTTTCTCTGCATCTTTGAGCTTGCCATCAAGACAGGCAAGCTGGGCTCGTATTCGACTGAGGCAGGCATATGACTGGAAGGTAAAAGACCACCGTTCAGGTTTCTCATACATCATCTGAAGAACATTTCCACCACTTTCCTGAGATGCTGTCAGTTCCTATTTTGAATTTGAAAAAAGAAACAAAAAGCAAAATTAATGATCAATAGAGCTATTTAAATTTTAAAAAAAGCTCAAAAAGAGAAGTTAGATAAATAAATGCATCACAATTAGCAAAACCAAGATGATTAAGTCCTCTTCCTCCGGCTCTTTCCCATTGCAGTTTTCAGGTTGCCTGAGGTCTAGAAGAACCTGAACGGCTAGTTTAACCATCGGTTCCTTAGAGCTTATCCACAAGAAGTCACAAACTAAAAGCCTATGGCAGAAAATACTTGTTTAGCCCTTTTAAACATTTGAATTAGTTGTCAATAGTTATTTAACTCGTTTTTTAAAGATTTTATTTATTTATTGACAGAGAGAGAGAGCACAGCAGGGAGAGTGGCAGGCAGAGGGAGAGAGAAAGGGAGAAGCAGCCTTCCAGCTGAGCGGGCTCCATCCCAGGACCTTGGGATCATAAGCTGAGCTGAAGGTCATGACCAGATGCTTAACCAACGGAGCCACCCAGGCGCCCCGGCTGTCAATATTTAATAGCTAAATAATTTCACATAATATACCTAGATTATATCTTCTTTTTAAAAACGCAAAAACCACCAACAGCATTTTCCACGGAACTAGAACAAACAACCCTAAAATTTGTATGCAACCACAAAAAGACCCTGAAGAAAAACAAAGAAAATCGTATTGAATCCGCGGCCTCTGCCCCTCCAGCCAACTTAGTAGTCTATAAGTTTTAGCAAGCACCTTTAGCCCTGAGTGATGGATTAACTAAAACTTTCTTGGTGTATCTATAGATTATATATTGTTTCCTAGAAAAACCCGGAACCAAACCCTCTTGAACAACATCCCTCCCCCACCCCGGGGCACCAATACACAACCTCTGAGCACCATGATAAGGTCTGTAGCTGGCACCACTGAGTCTGCACACAATCAAGAAGTGTTAAAGACCACTGTGCTCCCTTTTACTGATTAACTGCCCTAAAGTTCCTTTAAAAATCTTTGGGCCAGGCAGAAACCCTGGAGTTGGTTTTTGGACAAGAGTCCACCTTCTCCCCAGCTGGTGGATCTCCTGAATAAAGCTCATATTCCTTTCCAATCAGAATTCATCTCTTGAGTATTGGCTTTTCAAGTGATGAGCAGTTGAACTTGGGTCTTTCAGTAACAGTATCACAATCGTAGACTTTAAGATAAACTACAAAGCTGTAGTAATCAAAACAGTATGGTACTGGCACAAAAACAGACACATAGATCAAAGGAACAGAACAGAGAGCCCAGAAATAAACCCATGTTTATATGGTTAACTAATCTATGTAAAGGAGGCGAGAATATACAATGGGGAAAAGACCATCTCTTCAATAAATGGTGTTGGGAAAACCGGACAGCTATATGTAAATGAATGAAACTGGACCACTTTCTAACACCATACACAAAAATAAACTCAAAATGGATTTGAGACTTAAATGTGAAACCATAAAACTACCTAAAAGAGAACACAGGCAGTAATTTCTCTGACATCAGCCATAGCAGCATTTTTCTAGATACGTCTCCTAAGGCAAGGGACCAAAAGCAAAAATAAACTATTGGGACTACACCAAAATAAAAAGCTTTTGCAAAGCAAAGGAAACCATCAACAAAACAAAAAGGCAATCTATTGAATGGAAGAAGATATTGGCAATTGATATATCCATCTGATAAGGGGTTAATACCCAAAATATACTAAAAAAAAAACTCACACAACTAAACACCAAAAAACACAATCTGATTAAAAAATGGACAGAGGACCTAAATGGATATTTTTCCAAAGAAGACATACAGATGGCCAAAAGACACATGAGAAGATCCTCAACAACACTCATCATCAGGGAAATGCAAATCAAGACCATGAGATATTACTTTATACCTGTCAGAACGGCTAAAATCAAAAAAGATAATAAGTGTTGTTGGCAAGGATATAGAGCAAAAGGAATCCTCATAGACTATTGGTGGAAATGTAAACTGGTACAGCCACTGTGAAAAACAGTAGAAGGTTCCTCAAAAATTAAAAATAGAATGACCATATGATTCAGTAATTCCACTGCTGGGTATTTACCCAAAGAAAACAAAAACACTAATTCAAAAAAGTATATGTACCCCTCTGTTTATTGCAGCATTATTTACAATAGCCAAGATATGGAAACCACCTAAGTGTCCACTGACAGATGAATGGATAAGGAAAATGTTATATATATGTGTGTGTGTATATATATCCTATATATAAAATATATACAAAATATAGAAATATAAAAAATAAAAAATATATATAAATACATATAGTGGAATAGTACACAGTCAAAAAAAGGATGAGGTTATGCCATTTGTGACAACATGGATGGACCTAGAGGGTATTGTTAAATGAAATAACTCAGAGAAAGGCAAATATATGATTTCATGCATATGTGGAATCTGAAAAAAACAAATGAATAAAAAAATAAAGAAAAAGCATAATCATCTATAAATACAGAGAACAAACTGATGGCTGCCAGAAGGGAGGATGGGGGATGGGCAAAATGGGTGGAAGGGAGTGGGAGATACAAGCTTCTGGTTCTGGAATGAGTAAGTCACAAGAATAAAAGGCACAGCATAGAGAATATAGTCAATTATATTGTAATAGCATTGTATGGTGCCAGATGGTAGATACACTTGTGTATTCAGTTGCTATATAACTGAAATTAATGTAATATCGTGTGTCAACTATACTCAAATGAAAAAAAAATGTTTTTTAATGTGAAAACCAAGCAATACTGTGCCTGTAGTTCCTCTCAATAAAAATTACCTAGAGCCAAGTCACCCATGCTTCCATTAGGTGGGACATATGCTCTCCAGTTTATCAGCCCCTGTCATTCCCTGTTGATTTTCTCAACAGGCCTGATTTATTGTTAGCTACCTGGCCCCCCTAGGCATTTTAGGCCCCAATCTTCTAATAAAACAGAATAAGTCCTCCCTAAAATTTTGTGATTTCATATCATATTTTTAGAACCCATATTTTCAGTTTAAGAAAAAAAAATGTAGAATAAAAAAAAAGCAAAATCTCCGTAGTCTTTTTTTTTTTTTTTTTGAGAGAGAAAGATAGAGAGCATGAGCAGGAGGGGCAGAGGGGGAGAGAAAGAATCCTCAAGCAGACTCCATGCTGAGTGTGGAGTCTAACATGGGGCCCAATCTCATGACCCTGAGATCATGACCTGAGCCGACACCAAGAGTAGAACACCCAACCAAACTGTGCCACCCAGGTGCCCCAAACTCGGTAATCTTATAAATGAATCTGAAATAGCATCTAGAACTCATGAATTATTTTCCTTTCTCTAAAATACAGTTTTCCTAGCTCTGTCCACCAAAAGGCCTATAAACAATGACAACCTTTTAGGAACAAACATAAATGTCACCCAGATTATGATCTCTAAATACCATTTCCCACTGAAAGGAATTAGGGTCACATACCTGATTCTACGTCTGAAGAAAGAAATGTACAAGATGAGTTTAACACCTCTTGTCCCAGGAAACAAGTAAACTATCAAAATCAACTGAGGTTGTACCAAGGGAGAGGGAGCCAACATGAAAGGGCTTCCACTTGTCAAAAAGATAGAACCCTTTGAACATCCCGAAAGGAATGGTGAATGGAAGGCAAAAATTTATAAATTCATTAATACTAAAGAAAACCAGGAAAAAAAAAAACTCTCCAATCATCTTTGGAGATTGCTAGGTCACCAATTAATTACTCTGGAAATCTCTAGATAGAGAGAAAAAATTATCCAAAATTTTATTCTGGCCCTTTCTATACAAATGTTATTTCAAGTTAATGGAATAGTAGATGAGGAAAAGGTCTTCTCTGACTGAAGAAATCTCAGCTAACAGGCTTGATTATTAGAATATTACCTTTTCCAACACCAACTGATATATTAGATTAGGGCAACAATTAGCAATACATCCTAAAAATCATTAGAGAAAAGCTAATAGGGAATTTTATAATGTATGAATTAGGCTGATAAAACCTGAACAGACCAGGGAAACGCAAATCAGAACAGACTGATTGATTTTAACATCACAAAAGACATCCTCCTGGTGGAATGTGAAAGAAAATACACATCTTCACCTAAGAAGTCCAGCCAAAAAAGAACACCAAATCTAATCAAAGCTCTAGAGATCTAACTACAAATTTACAGGAAATACAGAGATTGAGAAACATGTTAAACTATACCACAGAGATGCACTCAGCCAAGACCATAATGATGGAAACTGTACTGACCCAGTTTCTTCAACTAATAAACTTCAAAGAAAAAAGAGGAAGAGGAACCAATAGATTAAAATTTGAAAGGCTTATCAACTAAATATAACATGTGAACCTTATTTGACTCTTGATAACAACAAACTATAAGAAAATTATAAGACAATAGAGAAATATGAACACAAACTAGATGTGATGACACAGTGGAATTACTAATCTTTTAGATGCAGGGTTTTTTTTTTTAAAGAATCTTTTTTTCTAGAGTTTCTATTGAGTCTTTAATTTCTACAGATAAAAATATTATCTAGAACAGAGGTCATCAAAGTGTGGCAGGGGAATGACTGAGGAGTCCCGGAGATCCTTGCAGGGGTCTACAAGAAAAAAAAATGATTTTAATAATAAATGTACCTTTTTCCATTCTCATTCTCTCATGAACGTATATATTTTTTTTCTTTTTTTTAAGATTTTATTTATTTATTTGATAGAGAGACAGACAGAACAGAAGCAGGGGGAGTGGTTGTGGGAGAAGCAGGCTTCCCACTGAGCAGAAAGCCTGATGCGGGGCTCCATCCCAGGACCCTGGGATCATGACCTGAGCAGGAGGCAGACACTTAACCAACTGGGCCACCCAGGAGCCCTGAATGTATAATTTTCTAGAAGCTACATAACACATGATATTGCAACAGTTTGAATGTAGAAGCAGATATGAGAACTCAGGAGTAAGTCAGATATTAAGAGATGTGCA